ACTCCTTTGCTCTCAACCTATCCTCCCAAAGCTTCAGTTAGGTTGATTCGGACTAGATTCATGCTCTTTACTCAGTGGTCAGAACAAAAATATTCCTGTGAGACAAAACACACCTCTAGAAGAGTCTCTGCTAGTCCCCCTTTGACAAATACTGTTTGTGAGGTTGCTATTGCCAAAAGAAATCAGTTTTAAACTCTGGATTACAGCTTCATCCAGAATCCATCTGTTCCTCAAACTGGTTAGTTTAAAATTGAGCTGGCTTGCCAGCCGGTGCTCCAAGAGGGGGAAGTAGAAAGGCAGGCAGAGTTAGGATTTTCATTAACTTCCTCTTCAGTCCAAGCTTTTTTGAAAGCAAGTTGCAGTTTTCTGCCTTTAGGAACATGAATCTGCAAGATGACTGGGGGTGAGGAGAAATGCTGGTTGTAGGAAGAGTCCCACCCACACTTACAATAATGGTGGCTGAGTTGGTAATTGGTCCCAGGCCCTAAGAGCATGAGAAAGGGGGGGGGAAACTTCTCTCTAAAACTTGCTTTTACAGACACAGCCAAAATTGGAGGATTATTGACAAACCTTGAATTGAGCTCCAAGGCCAGCAAGAGTCAGGAGACTGAAAATACAGAAAAGGGCTACCTGGAATTTCAAAACTGGCCTGTAACCCACCAATGCATTTCAGGCAAATCCACATTTCTTTGCCCCAACTCGCTTTTCAGTCAATACAATTTAACTCCTTTGCTTTCAACCTATCCTCCCAAAGCTACATAACCTCATTTGATTTCTTACCCATGGAGGGATATTTAGGTTTACCTCCTACCTTTTGTTATTTAAAAAAGATTTTTTTTGTATAGAAGAACTGCAGTGTAGGCCAGTGATGCAGGCGGTGAGAGGATTCACCACAGACAGTGGGAGTAGAACAGGCAGATCTATTGAAATACACTGCTGAGGGGAGCAGCAGGCAAGACAGAGTCTGCTGCAGCATACGTGGGTTGGCTCACTGGCTGGGGAATGAACTCAACCTCTGTGCTGCTAGGCTGTAGTTGGTGATAACAGATTTAAGGCCTAGCCCACCAGGAAGGCCCCTATCTTCTTGCCTATCTATTTGCAATACAACTTTTTCTCAGAATCTGATGTCATGTTATCAGTTTCTGTGCATATTGGGTAAAGTCCACTGCTCAGTAACATTACTCAGGAGCTGAGACTGGAGGCACCAAAAGAATTGACCAGACCTACTCATCCTGCAGTGAATGACATCCCCCACAGATCCTGGAGGAAATTCTGTCTCTACAAGGTTGATTTACTGCTTGCCAAGGGCACAGTGCACCTAGAAGTGTGGTAGAAAAATGGAAAGGGACTTTAAAAAGACCCCCTACTTTGTCTTGGCTTTGGGTGAACTCTAGCTCTCTCACCTGAGGTGACATCTGAAAAATTGGGAAGTGGAGTGAGGAAGGAAGTTATGAGGAATTTTGGGGGAGGAGTCTAGGCAGCAGAAACAGCACCTGCAAAGGCCCTGAGGGTGGAAGAGTGGCTTCATGTTTAGGCTGGTGTGGCCTGGGAGAGTGGGAGATGGCAGGTCATACAGGGTTAACTGGGCATTTTAAGGGCCTCAGCTTGAAATGGGACATTACAAGATTTTGAGCAAAAGGAGGGATGTAATTTGGTTATTAAACAACTGAATACTTCTGTACCTACTGGTAACTACTGAGTGTTCCATTTTGATATCTCAGAGGCTCTCTCGTTCTCCCACCACCTCCCAAGACCATCAATTAAGATTCACATCAGGTAGTGTATTACTCAGTCTGTTTTGACTGGCCAGTGTCTGGGTTTGAAATATTTTGAGCATCAGTACTGATCTTCACTTAGAAAGGAGGAAAAAGGGAGCATATCTGTTAAGTTTTATTTCTCTTCTATAAATACTTTTTACTTCCGATATTGTAATGTTTTTCTCTTGAGCTATTGTTTTGTCACCCTGGGCACCTTTTCATAATGCAAAAATATAAATCAATTCCTTTGCAGAAGGATTGCTAGGAATTGTCAGTGTGTCACTGACCTTTTTGTTTGTGAATGTTTAAAATTTGTATGAGGTTGGGTTTTACTTTTTGTTATTTCTGGATTTTAGGTTATTAGATCTTTGTACATGAATATTATTGACATTTTGTTCACTTCGTGTAGTATTATAGCTTTTAAGAGTTCACCAGAGACAGTGTAGAGTGGGGAGCAGTGTGGCTGATGATAGCTTCATAGTGGAGACTTTAACTGCACCACCAGGGAGGCCATATAGCTCCATTTTCTAAATGGATATGACTCATCTAAATATCTCTATATTATCTATATCTATTTATCTATATACATACACATATATTTAAAAAGATTTATTTATGCATACAGAGTTGGGGTATAGGGCAGTGAGAGGATTCACCAAAGACAGAGCAGGGAGCAGAACAGGCAGATGGACTGAAATACACTGCTGAGGGGTGCAGCAGGTGAGACAGGAGAGGTCTGCTGAGCCATGTGGGTCAGCTCTCAGGCTGGGGATTGAACTCATGCTGAAGCAGCTTCAGCTAGCTTCACAAGTGCAGCATTTTAACCTGTTGCACCACTAGAGAGGGCCCTCAGCTAAAATATATTTTAATGTAAAGAGTAAGAGTGGGGTTCAACATTTTCCCACATAGCTCCTGAGCTGCTGCAAAACCATCATCTTTCTTACAATTTCATAATATACCACCACTATGTATCAATATACTATTGATTTCAGGCCATTTCTAGATTTTTCTTTTCCAGTCCATTTATCAGTTTATGTGATAATTATAGCTTTTACAAAGGGGCCGGTGTTCCTTAGACATTCTTTTGAAAATTCTGCTGTAAACATAATCACTCTTCTGTTGGCAATGTCTTTTTTCTGGTTATTTTCAGATTTTTGCTTTTTGCATATAAAGAACTTGACTTGCTTTTTATTCACACGTCTAAATATTTGTCACTTCAGTTGGGGATTCAAATAAAATCTCTTCCTCTAGTCTGTTTTCCTCATTTTAATTTCCATCTCTCTTAGTCCTTTCTTATTTCCCATCTCTTCCTGTTATAATCTGGCCATTTCTCTGCTTCTATTTCATTAATTCTCTCTTTAGACATGCCTGTAGTTTCATCCTGCATCTATAGTTTCATCTGTGAACAGAGCTTTAAATTTCATTAATTATGTGTGCTTTTAATTCCCAAAACATAGCTTTTCAAACCTACTTTGCCTTTTTTCAGTATCATCTTTTCTAATGGGTTTTATGCTTTCTTTTAATGCTCTCTCCATTATTTTAAACATTCTTACTTCATAGTTACTCTAAGGTACTAAGCCTCCAAGATTTTGTCTATTGACTTGTGCTTGCAAAGGCATGGTTTTGGATTTTAAACCATGAGTACATCTGAGTGGACTTTGCACTTTCTACACTACAGTAATATGACGCAGCTTGGGTTGTGAGTGTCTCTTCCTCCTTCCCCTCCCTTGTGCTTTATTAGTACTTCTCAAACTGAGATTCTTAGGCATCTAGGGATTTATATGCCTTACATTTTGAGTTTAAGATTTCATTTAAACAAAGTGATCAGTGACTAATACAGTTTGCTGTGCTAAAATTCTATAATCTCATGTCTTTACACAAGAGAATACTCAACCACTGGAACATTCAGAAAAATAATTGTATTAACCTGTATTGACAAATATAGTACTAGTGGACCCAAAGAAAATTTCATCAACAACCCTGTGAGGTAGCTACCACAAAGCAAGCAGTAGGATAAAATTCAACTGAGATTCATCTGACCCTAGAGCCCAATCAATCATTATTCACTCAAGAAAAAATTTTTTAGGAACTACTGCAGACCAGGATGTCCTATTTAAGCACATTATTTTCCTTATATCATTCAAATTATCTGTAAAGACCCAGATTTCTTTTCCCTCTTAATTTCTAATCTACTGCAGACCAATTATTTTTGTTAAAGAAATTTGAAACTTTGCAGCAATGTCATTTCCCCTCAATTTTTGTTTTTAGCTTTCTCTGGGCTGGAAACCATCTGCAGACCACTCCTACCTGCAGGCCCAGCAATACTTTATGTATACTGGCAGACAATTTTGTGTGTACCTGTGAAAAATAGAAGAAACTTTTGATATCGGTGGCTTGTATGGGGAGAACAAAACCTTTGTAAGAGGGTATAATTAAGTATTTAGGTTATGTTATGCTTAAGCTAATAAGCATAAAAAGGGTGGTGGTAGGGGAGATTCAGTAGATAATAAAAATGCCATTGTTATATAGTTTTATACAAATCTGACAGTTCTGGTACTAGGACCTACTGCCTCAGTTACTCCAGTCTTTTACCAGGACAGCATGGTAGGTAAAGGGTCAATCAGAAATACTAATCACAAAAGTTTGGGAAATTTATTTGCATATTTTCTTTCCTTATCACCCTGCAAACAAATGGATCACATTACACACTGGCATGCATGCTTAAGGAACTGCAGGCAAACAATCTTCACTGAAGCATTAAGATAGGGTTGCTGATATATATTCAAACTCAAATGACTTATGGATTATTTATCACCGTATGGAAAGCAGAGACTACTCACACAAAGACACGTGGCATTCTAAAATCTAACATACATTACTGTTTCTGAGGGTAATAAATACCATTAAGATTGGAGAGCTTATAAAATTTTTTTATATGACATAAAACACAAAACTGCTTTTTATAAGACTACAGATTGCCCAGAAATGAGCTTTAATAGTATGCTGTAAGTTGAGATGGATGGACTGACTACATGCCTAAAAACACCTTACAGCTACATTCATCTAAAAGCAGCTGAAAAGGTATGGTCACAACATTTATTATTTTAAACTGCATTCTTTTTATCATTATAGACTCAGAACTACAATGTTTTCCTGCAATTGTAGTTTATTGTAATCTTAATCTATTTTCTTAAAGACCATTCAACACATTTATACTATTTTAGTAATTACCATGCTACCCAGAAAAGCAAGTGAACAGTTTATTAAGAATTAAATGAGGGTATGGAATGTGATACAGTACAAATAAAACACTCAAGACAGATATAACAATACTACTCACACAAAAAGTTAAATCTCACTCAAAAAAGAAATCACAAAAGAAAAAGCAATTCCATCATTATAAAGTAAGATATTTCATGCAAAAATTCCAAAAAAATCCCCAACCTCCCCCAAACCCTTTGAGCTCCCAATAATCTATGTGAAAATATTGCCATGCTAACATATTAACCACAATATAATTATCCATAGAAAAACAACACTAAGCAGTGGATTAGATGAAACAACACAGGTTGCAAAATTGTAAACTCATAGACCACGATGGTTTTACATGATAAGCAATTCCAGATTCATTTATAGGGAGCATAAAATGGGTTAAATGCTGAGAGAGAATGTGTAAATATAAACATTAATTCATCTCATTATCATCTAATTATAAAACCTGGAAACTTCCAGAACCTGAAAAATCATACAAAATTTGGCATATTCTATTTGTGTTCCCCAAAATGACTTTAGCATCATATTTGCAATAATTAGTTGTATAAAAGCACTTCAAGATCAGGAACTGACTTCCTAAATAAAGATCACACTCTACATCAAAGAAACAATTCAGATATGCATTTACTCTGATTTACTCAAGACAAGAAGCATGATTTTCTAGCACTTTATGTACAACTTACTGCAAGAGGCCAGTTAAAGACTGAATAAAATGTAAAACGAAGGTAAAGTGGTACAGAGAATGAAGGGAAATATTCCCATTAAAAACACTTTAATTGGGTAAAATCTTCCTTTAACAAATAATGCATGTCTCTGTACCAAGATGCCTTAGCATATTTCATTGAAAAGATAGCTTTATATTATAAAATCCAGGTTAGCATTATGTGGGGCAGCATTCTTCTTCACAGCTGCCAAAGTGAACGCAAGCCCGCTCATTACCTGGTGTACAAATTGAAAGCATAATTCCTGTTGGGAGGTGACCCAGCAGCAGGAAATGCCCCTATCACTGCACCTGCCCATTCGGGAGGGCAGGAGAGTATGGAGACGCCTACATTTTACGGTCCTAGGCTGAGCTTACTTGCAGTGGGATAGACTGGCTAACAGAAACAAATAAAAAAGAATAGGAAAAAAAACCAAAAAAACAACAACAAAAAACTACATACTATTTGCCATTTTCCCCCTTTAGATTTAAGGTAATAATAGGTTGAAAATTATTCAGGATTACCCTTCTTACTTCAGCAATTTAACTTCCTATTTACATTCCATGGGGGGAAAAAACAGCATTAGTTATTGAGTGGCAGGATTTAGCCTCTCTAAAAAATAGGAGCTCTTGCTCTGATTTTTATGGCATGAGAAAAATTTCCAAAGCAAAACCCAGAGTTTGAGGCCAGTAAAGAGGCTTCGTAAATCTATAGTTAGAGCTCTTTGGAATGTGTTTTGTACATTCAAAGGTATCAGAAATTAAATCCCCAGAGTATTCATGAAGCAAGTTCCTAAATGGGATAGGATAAATGAGATATACACTTTTATCAGAAAATTAAACCTGATAAATCAATCTTTCCCAAATAACCAAGTCTCTGATAACAATTCAACATAACCTCTGGAATCAAATGTAAAGACCACTCAATCATGATTAATGTAAGATGAAGTTCAGATGAGCAATACATATGAAAAAAATTGTAAACTGCTGCTGTTCTAGAACAGTAGATTTATATTACAAAGCAATGTAAATAAATATTGGGCTAGTACAAAAGCTCTTATTTACAGTTTTACAAATGAAACTGTATTCAGTGTAAATGCTGTGCTTTAAAGAAACACAGTACTGTATTAGTAAAATGAGTTCTGTGGAGGGATTACAGTTTCTGTGAGAATCAATGCATAATGTATAAAAGGTTCAAGTTAACTGTTTATAATTTAGTACAGACAAACCCAGTTTAACCTGGAATGGCATCTGTTAAAGTGCTGAAAAACAGGAAATATTTAGAAAACACTGTACATTATTAAAGCTTTATCAAGTCAGAATGTTAAGCTTCGTTCACATTTTTTTTTATCCTTTTGCCACAGGCTTGTAGACAAGATGATTTTTCCCAGAAAAGAAGTAAAACTTAAGAGGTCATCAGCTGCTTAGATGATCTTATGTTCAGTGGAGTTAGGTTCCTAAAACATTTATCCATCAACCATACCTTCAGGTCTCACAATCTGATAAGTAATTAAATATTCAGGATAAGCCTGGAAGAGAAAGATTAAAATATTAATAATTAAAACATGGAAGCAGCCCAGATGCCCAAAAGTAGATGACTGGATAAAAAAGATGTGGTACATATATACAATGGAGTATTACTCAGCAACCAAAAAAGAGAAACACATGTCTTTTGCAGCAACTTGGATGGAACTGGAAAAGATCATGCTTAGTGAGATAAGCCAGAAAGAGAAAGAAAAATACCGGATGGTTTCACTCATAGCAGGAGTATAATGGACCAGGTGGAAAATAACAAAAATAATGAACAACCATATACCAGAGACATTTTGTGGGGGTGGAGTGGGGAGTGGGATCAAAAACGGGGTGGGGGGAGGGAAATGCACGGGATTATGGTGATGGCACATGGGTGACTTGGTGATGGGAAACCCGCGGGGATTACAATTGAGATGGAAAAAAAAATGCACAAAATGATGTAAAAATAAACTTTGTAAAAAAATAAATTAATAATTATTTTTTTTTGAAAGGAGATTTTCCATAAGGTTCCCTAATATTTAGGGAGAAGCTTTAGTGTTATGGATCAGCATTATCTAGAGGCATCAAAACATCCTTACCTTGATGCCAACCTTTTAGATTCTGAATCAACAGGTCTAGGCTAAGGTTTGTCCTTTTTTAATAACTGAAGGATTCTGATACATATCTTTAGTTAAGTACCTTACTCTAAAGATGCTTTTATAAACTCTTTTGCTATAGCTTGGCTAACTATTAAATACAGGATCTTTTTTTTTTTAATTTATTTTTGCAAACAAGAACTGGGGTGTGTAGGTCAGAGGTGTAAGGGGTAAGAGGATTCACCAGAGACAGTGTGGGAAATAGAACAGGCAGATCTACTGAAATACACTGCTGAGGGGAGCAGTGGATGAGACAGGAGAGATCTGTTGCACCATGAGGGTTACCTCCCTGGCTGGTGATGTAACTCCTGCTGCAGTGGCTGCTGACAGCTTGATAACACTGAGACTTAACCCCTTGTGCCATCAGGGAAGCCCTAAGTATAAGAATCTAATGAACTGTATTTTTCAAGACAAAAAAAGACATAGCAAAATACTAATAAGGCCTATATGTATATACAATATTAATATTTTCCTGGTTGTGATAATTTTAAGAAAGTATCTTTCTAGAAATACATATTGAAGTGTTCAGGTCTAAAGGAACATGCCTATAAGTTGCTCTCAACCAGTTCAGAATAAAATGTGGATGGGGAAGGATAAGAGGAAAAGAATGATAGAAGAGAGACATTACTATTTGGAAAACATGGGTTAACATTTCCTGCAAATTCTTTTTACTATTTTTGCAACTTCTAAGATTATTTCCAAATGAAAGTTAAGAAGAAAGAAAATCTAGTTAAGCCAATATACTCGTCAATTGAAGTGATTCATTAAGTTTAAAATACAATTCTACAGCATTTGTGAAAATGAATAAGTAAGACTGAAATACCTGTTCTCCTCTGTAAATAACATATTCAGCTAATGCTAGGCCATTTACGCTGGGTCGACCAGTGACTGAGTGGTGTCCTGGAGGAGAATGCGCCATTTTCATTGCACTGAACTGCAGGAAAGACTTTCCCAGGGTTACTCGGCAGAAGAGCAGCTGTCTATACATGAAAAGGAAAAGACTCTCTGAGGACTAGGCAGTTTATGATTATTTGTGAGTACTGCCATCAGTTTTTTAAGTGCACTTATACATAAACCCTTAAAATTGTTTTAATCACTTCTCACTTAACAGAACTTTGTAAGAATGTTTTCTAACCTTATTAATGAAAAATTAACCTTATTAATGATATTTTATAAAATCTGTAAAAAAATCTTTTAGAGAAACAGACTGACATCCTGTTTATAGATCAAGTGAGGAGAAGCTTAAGGAATATCCATGAATTGGTTTGCAAAGTTGGACATTTTATCTAACTAAGTCCAACTGATTCAACTTCATAATGCATCTGAAATCCATTCACTTCTAATTCTACTGCCACCATTAAGTCCAAATGACCAAATATTACACCTGACTTGTTAGAATGGCCTCTGAAGCAGTCATCTTGCTCCTTTTCTAATTCCAACCCAAACTATTTATTATCCGAACAACCAACAATTTAGAAGAAGACAAAGCAATGCAACCTCCCCTTTCCCCAAATTGGACTCTATCACTTTTTTGTTTACAATTTTTTTATAGGCTGCTCACTGACTGTTCAATACAATGCTCACTCACATTCCTTACAATGGCTCCCATTTCTCCCACTTACCTTGTGTAAGATTATATGCATTTGGTATATGCCTCAAGCACATTAATTTTCTTTCTTCACACAGGCTAAACTTTCTTATTCTGTGTTGCCTCTACCATCAAGAATGGCATCTATTTTACCACTTTTCAACAGGCTAACAATTATCAAGTTTCAGCTGAAATCTTACACCCTCAAATAGATCTTTCCCTTATCAAAAATTTAAGTAAAATTTTCTTCTACTTTTCTCAGGAATATTATTGTTCCAAAGTTAATTCATTTTTTTAATTATTTAATTTTCTTCCTTATTTTTATAGAACAAGAGGTTTTGGTTGACATATTAGTGATTTTGATCTCCACGCTACATACCTGTTATTCTAATTTTACCCCTTGGAAACCTTAGCACTTATAATAGATTTTCTATTATAGTCACAATCAAGACCCATGAAAATCAGAATATACATTTATTTACAAAAAGCCAAGCATTCTGTTATAAACAGTTCGGATGAGGTACTAAAACATTACTTATTACGAATAAGAATTATCCAGCCTCCAGATAACATATGACAAACTTACAAGTCTCCTAACAAGTCCAATTTATAATCTAAAACAGAAGCTGGTCGTACCCAGGAAGGTCTACCAATGACCTGAGTCAGAAAGCTAACAACAAAAACAAAATTAAAAAAAAGAACTAGACTTCTTTCTCAGGACTATAGTTCTTTATCTTTACTATAGTCTTTCAAAACCAGCTGGGAAGCTTTAAAAAATACCAATGGCCACGTCATACCTCAGGGATCAATAAAAGGAGAATCTCTGAGGGTGGGACACCGGGTTAATGTGCTAAGGTTGTAAACTACTGCTCAAGGTTTTCTTCTAGATCACTGATCAGAAATAGCAGCATCACCTAAGAACATGGCAGAAATTAAAGTTTCTGAGGTGGAGCTTAGGAATCTGTATTTTAACATGCCCTGTATTGTAACATGCCCTCTAATATTTGATAAGTAATGAAGTACCCAACTGTAGAATTTCAATTAATTAATTACTTGATTTTTCAATTGGTGAACTATAATTCACCTGATTTTATCAGTTAGGGTCAAGCTAGTTGAATGATTTTTAACACTGATTTATAACCAAAGCAACTGTAAGTGAAAAGTAACTACTTAATATGGTATTTATGAGTTTTAGTCTAACTCCTGGAGCAGTATTATCACAAACTGAAGATTAGAATCAATCATATCACAGAGGAAGAAAAACTCCTTTATGCAGTGCCATGAAATGATGAGGCTTGCCTTGGGAAGTAATGACAAAACCCTATAATATTCAAGGGTCACAAGAAAGCCTTTTTCCATGCGCAATGGTATTTTCTACTCACTAAGTATCAAAGTACCAAACGTTCTAAAAATGACTGAGTTAAATAGGTCAAGTGCTTAGAACTGTGTTGGCCCGCATAAATCAATTACTAAGTATTAGCTATTACTACAAGTGGTGAGAGGGCCAAAAGCAGTCTGAAACATGTCTAGGCTGGATTCCTAAAGATGCACAAGACAAGGTCTTGCTCCCTAAATTTCTCAAATATAAAACCAGTTTTATTTAGTCTTATCAAAATAAATGCAAACAAGTTATCTCTTACCTGTGGCAAATGTAACAAGATCTGTCTTTGTGAACCGGACACCCAGTACCTCCTCCAATTCCATATACATACTGATTGCTTTTGGAAGAGTTTTCAGCAAAATAAATTCCAGCTCCAAACATGCCACCTATGTAGGCATGCCTTTCATCGAAGCCTTTATGGATAATTGCATTCACAAAGGGAGACCCTAAAATACATATAGGTGGATAACAACAATTCAAAATTAACACAGAAAAAAATAAAAACTAAGATCTTTCAAAAACCAAATTCTTAAACTTACACACCTTTACAATGAAATAAAAAGGTTTTAACATGCTAACAGTCAACTCACTACTTTACAGAACAATGTTAGAAGAATTGCTAATGTCAATTAGTGTTTCTAATATGGTGGTAGTTTTGATGCCAAAATAAGGAAACAGATTCAACTAGAAAAAAAAAAAAATCACTTGACATACCAATGCTACAAGACAGTATTGGTAAATTTACCATAAACAAAATGGTAAACCTATTTATAAATCCACTATAACACAAATTCAGGAGGCTGAAAATATGCTTATGAATGTAAAATTGCAAAAATCAGGTTTAGGAAACCTGTCCTAATGTGGAGGGTAGTGGTGAGGTATGGAATCTTACCATGAAATAGCATTCTTTCATTTGCATGGTTGTGGTTTTCTTCTGAAACTTCTTTTCTCCTGTGAGTATATCTTTCCCATAGTTTCTTGTTACAAACTTTCTGAATCTATAAACACCCCAAAACAATTGAAAAATGAAATTACTCGCTCATTTTAACCAAAAATGGATCACACTGTCATACAGAGGCAAAACTTTTCCTTGAGATGTGTGTGTCATCTTAATCAACTAAAAATACCTTGTCTAATCATAAAGAGAAATACAGGAAACATCTTGAAAATCAAAAAGCAAAAATTTCAAAGGGAGGGGAAGCTATATAGGGTCACATGTGAAGGTCCAGAAAACCATTACTAGGATTAAAATATTTAAGCCTTCATTTATTTAGACTACTGAATTACCTCTAAGACAGACATGCTGAGTTCTGTATTTGAAAGAGCAGTATATTCTTTCTTCCACCCCCATTTATCTGGCTCAAACTATCATTTTGGTCTTTTTTAAAAAAAGATTTAATTTTTATTTATTGATGCATATAAGCACTGGAGTGTAGTCCAGAGGTGCAGGGGATGAGAGGACCACCAGAGAATATTCGATAGGGAGTAGGGAGTAGAACAGGCAGAGCTACTGACTACAGAAGTGTATTTCAGTACAGAGAGCAAGACAGGAAGAGGTCTGTTGTGACGTGGGTCAGCACCCTTGCCAGAGGGTCTAACTCATGCAGCAGTGGCTGGCCATTGGCTGGCAACAGCCTGACAGCACTGAAACATTAATCCCTGTGTAACCAGGGAGGTCCTCAAACTATCATTTTGTTTTTGGTTAAAAATATTTGATACATACCTACCCACACCCCAAATGCTAACACTTTTGTTTGGAGAAGCTGTAAAGATGGATGCTGTCCTCATCTGGAGTTATTTCCAGGGTCTAAATTCAGATTCACAATTCTGTTTCTTAGCTGTGTTTGAAGGTGTTATTGCCCCCTGCTGGTCCAACAGCAACATTTGGAAGCTGGTGGTATCAGTCTTTGCTCAAAATATTTCAAGTTAAGTAATCAAGGGCCACAAGGGGCATAAATAGAACTCATTTATGTTAAAAGCAAAAAAAAAAAAAAAAAGCAACAAAAAAGAAACTTTAATCATTGAAGTTTTTTCATTATTAAAAAAAAATCATTATATACATATACATATATCCCCATGAATGGAAACCCCAAGAAGTCATTCTTATGACTAACATACTATGAGATAAACTATTAAAAAGAGGCTCCCAAAAGTCTTCACCTGAGTACTTGTTTTAAATCATTTAATTTATACTAGTATAAGCACAGAATCTTAATAAATTTTTAGTATTCACTAACTCAATTATGACATTTAGTATTATATTTATGATAGCCATTTTACTGTGAAGCAGTGGTAAAACACAGCTGAAAAGATGATACTGTTTATTTTAAGAGTTTAAAATTTATGTATTAGGGGCCTCCCTGGTGGCATAGGTGTTAAAGCCTCAACACCATCCAGCTATCACCAGACCCTGTGGAATGAGTTCCATCCCCAGCCAGGGAGGTGACCCATATGGCGCAGCAGACCTCTTCTATCTCGCCCGCTGCTTCCCTCAGCAGTGTACTTGATCTGTCTATTCTACTCCCCACTCTGTCTCTGGTGAGGCCTCTCATCTCCCCTGCACCTCTTATTTGTACCCCAGTTCTGTATGCATAAATTAATAAATATTAAAAAAAAAAACAGTTCTTAGAAACTGTTTGGAAAAGTGGAATGTATAAAGAGAGTACTCTGAAAGTCATAGTGTGCAGATTCTCAGAAAGCTGAAGTAGTCATAGTTAAGGACAAAAAGTACAATAAAACTATTAAGGATGAAGTCCTTTCAGGAACTATACATAAAATTTAGCTTTCGTACAAGGAAGTGCCTTAAAAGATGCTTACATATTTAAACTCCCTTAAATATAGTATTTATTATTACACCAGGACAAACCATAATTCCTTACTTTGAGTATGTTAATAAGGTACAAATTATGGCTGGCAAAGGAAACATCAATGGGATTTTGAGACTTAACTTTCCAAGAATATAATCTTTTCCAAAATAGCTCCTAATGTCAAGCTCAAGACTTATTACATGGACAAATCATTACTTTCTTAAGCAAGTTAACAATGGTTTTTAAAACTACAGTCTCAGCAAACTTTATTTTCACTAACTTATTACCTTGAGGATATTATATCTGTTGAAGATTCCACCTGCATGACCGCCATCCCTGTGTTCTCGGACTGTACTTTGCATCTGATGGGAAAACAATTTAAAATATATGAAGGTTAACTATTATGTCTTTTCTGACTCCTGAGACCTCTAAGAGTCTATTTTTGAGAATACAAAATGAGCTTTTAATATTTGTGCGTTTTAACAATGAGTTCTTTAAATCTGTGAGTACTATTCTCTAGAGTAGTCAACCTGGAAACAACATTGTAGGTGAAAACTATAAAGTGCAAAGTTAAGGAAGAAAAAGAGTCAAATGAATGCACAGGTAAACTAAACATACAAAGCTTACCACTTGACACGACAAACAAATAATAAATTACTTGTTACTATTCTTTTTGCCCTAATAAAGCACAATTTGTATATCATTTAGAGTTGGTTTCTTGAGCTTTATTTTTAAATTTTTTTTTGTTTGTTTCTTGAGGTTTAGAAGTTTCATTCAACTTTGTATTTCTGTGCTGATTTTACAAATGTAGGGTAGATGTCCTAGAAGTACAACACTATTCAAAGTTTTCAATGGGTCCAAGTAGGGAAGGCAAGCTGAAAGAAAAACTTTCTAACGACATGTTCTATTTCTTATTTGGGGCACCTTGAGTTTTGCAACTGTCTTCATGAAAGGAGGGAGTATCAGCCATTTTTCTTAGAAGACTGTTAGTTTTAACTGCACTGTTATAATTCCATGTCACTGGAATTAATGTTTACTGAGGGAGGTGTCTTACATGTATTGATTTAGAATGTTTCTAACCAGTAAAGAGTTATGAACAATTAAAGTTATGTTCAAGTGGATCTGGAAACTTCTAGGAAATTTTAGGTATAAGAACATACCTCTTCTTCCACAGACTGAAATTCTTTATCATCAGGAGACAGATCTATGAGAATTGTTCCACTACCAGAGGTGTTCAGAGTTAAGTATGGGTTAAGACCTATTAAATGAAAATTGAAGGTAAAAACGCATTGCCTATAAAACAATATAAACTGAAAATACTTATCTGATTTACCTGATGATTGCTACCAATTTTTAAAAACTTTGGAATGATTTAGATTTATAGGAAAGTTGAGAGATAGTACAAAGATGCTCAGTGTTATCTTTCCATAATGTTTCTGTTTTACATAACCATAGACCATCGGTCATAACTTAAGTAAATCAATGACATTATTTAGATTTCACCAGTTTTCCCAATGATGTCCTTTTTCAATTCTAGGATCCAAACCAGAACACTGCATTTAGATTACTAATTTTTGACCCAACAAGTCTTAAGGGTTTTTAAAGAACAATGCAGAACATTTTTCTATTCTCTATCTCCTGTAATTGAATTTATCATATCTTCTTTAAATTGTTTCCCAACCACAGATGCCTCTCAGTATCTGGACCCTTTATTTTTTCTAAGTATAAGAAATAATAATGGCAGAAACGTATTCAGCCTCAAGTACTTTAAATTAATCCTCAAAATGTGTATTTACTACTGAATGTTTATAAAGTCTTTAATTCAGCACTGAATTTGCCATATTTTCTGAATGTTAATTGCCAAAAAGATTCATGTATTTTTCTATCTCTATTCTCACAAAGCTTTTTAAACAGAATTTCTTCATATATATATATATATTTTTAAAGATTTATTTATTTGTGCATATAGAACTGGGGTACAGGCCAGAGGTGCAGGGGCAGTGAGAGGATTCACCAGAGACAGAGTGAGGGGCAGAACAGGCCGACTGATGAAGTACACTGCTGAAGGGAGCAGCGGCGTGTCAGGAGAGGTCTGCTTTGCTATGTGGATCACTTCCGGGGCAGGTAGGGATTGAACTCATGCGGAAGTGGCTTTAGCTTCTCAGTGCAGTGCTTTAACCTGCTGCGCCACCAGGGAAAGTCTCTTCATAGACTTTTAACACAATTTTCAAAACTTACTGTTTTCTAGGAAGGGGTCAATGCATAGTAGTTTCCCTCTGGAGATTATGAGCACTACTCTAGTTTTGATTTCTGATGAGTAACTTCTACAAACATGTCAAGCTCTGATAAGAAACGTACAGGAATGGCTGAATTACAAAGTGTATGGGAATTATGGCACCCATACAGAGGAGAATATTTTACAGACTACAGACTTACAAAATAAGGACCAAGGTATCTTTGAACCATCCCATGGAGAGGTGTATCAGTACTGAAAGGTTAGGACTAATCACCTGTTGACTTGACTGAATAAAAGCGAAGATTGTACGGCAGCAAGAATCAAATGAATATGAGGAAGGTGTTAACTTTATGTAAGAAACCTTCTATTCTATATCAGATACAGATTCTATGATGACGTTTCTCTCCAACGCAGGAATGAATGCTTCTACCTAACTGTAGCTAGATGTTAAAGTACAGATGTGGTGGTGTCATGGAGGTATCTTTGTCACTTAGAGGCAGCGTATTCATTTTTTAGGCTTTTGAGCACATCTTATTAAATGCATGTCAGACTATATGTTTATTGTATAACACTGCCTCTTTCCTAAATGACCCTTGTTCAATTCACTACTCAATTATAACTGCTATTCTACTAGATTGGTCCATAACTGAGAGTTCTAGTTCCTTTTTATTATGTTATTTATATTGTATACTAATGTTCTAGGGAGTCATGGGTTTTCCCTCTTCTTTTTCTTATAAAACCTCATCACCTATAATACCCAAGATTATCTCACATTTTAAGTATTTTGCTCTAACCCTTACCAAGCAAATAAAGCACATCTATGTTTAATTGGTCTAATCTCAAATTTCCAGTTTAAACATCCTTTAGCTTGAATCACTTAGTTTTGAGAGGTACTCTATTCTTTGTCAAGAAGTGGGCCCTATGCCAGCAAGTATATATTTTTCCCTGAAAAGCTCATTATTTTTGTTAGGGAAGGTTACTTTTCAAACCCCATTGTAAAGGCAGGATTTCAATTAAACAAACTTGTCATCACTAGGTAAATCATTCTCTCAGTTTATCAATGTATCTAAAAACAAAAACTTTTTTTAACCCAGGACCTGGTACATTTAATTATGGACATCTGATGGCTGAATGCAATTTGCATTTTCCTTAAGTATCAACATTTAGGAGAAAAAAATATTCACTTTATTTTTTCAATTTCCTAAGTTGCAACATTGTTTACCAGTATTTTTACTTCAAACATTTAGATTTTAGCTATTACAACAACAGTTTTATATTATTTATATGCTGGCCTGAAGGCCTGTTATATAGTATCTTAATATGTAAATAACCCGTGTTTCATATTTTGTAGAATCATACAATTTTAGAGTTAAGTAACTTCAGTAATAGCTAAACAGAAATAACTGAAGCAATTCCCAAATTTCTGAACAGTCCAGATATTTTACTTAGGTACTTAGCTAACAAGTACAGATCAGGAACGTTTATAGCAGCACAACTAAGACTTGATTTTAGGTGTTCTCCCTAGAAAGCAGAGTCTTAACAGATTTTTACAAAATCAATAAGCAAATTGAGGGGTACTTTTATGCAAAATGCTAAACTAGCAATAGCAATGATACAAAATTAAATACCTTGTTGTCCAGAGATAAGTCTTTCAACTCCTTTAATTAGTTTGTGTCTATGTCCATAAGCATTGATTCCAATCTCTTTCAGCTCCTTGTGCCCCATCTCAACTAATACATCCAAAGTGATCTTACAAAAAGAGGACAAAACTATTAGAAGACTCACTTAAATTTGGTGGACATTCATATACTGGTATTCTCAGAATGTATTAAAAGTTACATATTTACTTCAAATTATTTTGAATAGCTTAAAAATAAAAGCAAACCAGTTATTAAAGAAAAATGGCAAGTTGCAGCGAATTAAACAGAAAGCTGAGTCATTCTAAGCTACCAAAAATAACATCATTTTCATGTAGCACAGTAAGAATCTAAACCAAAGGCATCACATACAGGGTGTATTACTTTCTTCTTCATCACTCTATATCCAAACTACTTATATAATGTCTTAAATAGCTTCTTCTGACTCTAAACTGTGCTGATACTTTTGACCACTATATAACTCTTTTATCTCAGGTATATTATTCCCATTTTGTGAAACTGAACACATCTTTTTAAACGTGCTTTACAAAGTAAGTTTACTTTGTAAACTAAATGGTCCAAGGAAAATTTTCATGCAAGATATATAATCTTTATATGCAAGATATAATCTTTTTGTTCTCTGAATTTCTAAAATCTATGCCTAAAACTTAACTCTTCATATGTTCTCATTGTAGCTTCATAACTACAATGATAATTCCTTAGGGCTACAAGTCTGAAGTAACTTATATTCTGAGGCCCTCCATCTAAAACAAAAAAAAATCAGTAAATGTATCCCAACAGAGCACTTTAAACTGAGACTGTTTCAAAAATCCAGATATATGGTAAGGACAAGTAACAATAAGGACAGAGTAAGTCAATTTAAGAAAATCATTGTACTGTTATTATACACAAGTCAATTTTTATCTGTTAATAAACTTAACAGAAACGCCAGATGCCATATCAAGTATGCCTCAATTTTTCCTTACGCCTCCATAAATCACCAAATCAAGCAACATAATCTACTCACCTGTTCTCGCTCAAATATATCCATTAGGTGTTCAAGTCCAAGATTCCTCACAAATTGAGTTATGCTAAAATCCACTCCTGGAACTGGAAGTAAATTCCCAAAACAAAATTTCACATCAGTACAATGTATATGAACATTATAACAAAGTTTTGTTATATTACTATATATTGAGAGAATGTAAGGATGAAGCAAAATATAAATAGCCACTTCGGATGCAATACTGAATAAAAACTGAGTAAAGAAAGTCCAACAACATAAAATAGTTACAGTCAACCAATGGGTACTCTCATTAAAAAGAAGACATCTTCATTTAAAAATTTTAGATTGTGTCCTGAAAATAAATTTTCAAGGGGCCTCCCTGATGGGACAGTGCCATCAACCTACCGACAGACACTGCAGCCTGAGTTCCATCCCTAGCCAGGGAGCTGACCTACATGGCACAGGCGAACTCTCCTGTCTTGCCTGCTGTTCCCTCAGCAGTGTACTTCAGTAGATCTGCCTGTTCTCCTCACTGTCTCTGAGGAATCCCCTCCTCCTCGCCCCTCCACCTGTGGTCTAAACTCCAGCTCTTGTATACATAAATATAAATAAATCAATCTAAAAAAAATTTCTTTTCACATATCAGAAATTAACATATTTTATGTCAATTATATATCATAAAAAAAAAGTCTGCCTCTAAGGATGTAAGTTACTTATGTTTATGAAGGTAAGTTTCACAATGTTATACAGCCTATGCTGAATCTGACAAATAAAAGGTAAAGAACAGCTTTATGGAGGCTGCAGGCATATAGCTTTCTTTTTAAAAATGATCTTCAAAGTTGGATATTTTGGGGTGAAATGTTTACATGAGGTTAAAAAAAAGCATTTCATAACTAAAATACATTGAAACTGGTAAAGGCATAATTACTCAATAAAAAAGATATCTAAGCTTTACAAAAAGCATAATTATAACTAAACTTTTCAAAAAGCATAAAGAGTTGCGTAAGAGCATTAGATTCAAGTCTAAACTTGGAAAGAGAGTGTTTGGGAATTCTATTATTCCATTACTGAGACTACAATAAAAGGCTAATATTTTAGACTGTGCTAATTAATTTGTTGCTAGTAGCTGTACTGAAGTTTAAAAATGCCTTATTAGCATTCCAAATGACAAATACACAGCTAAACTACCAATTTAAGAAGTCTTTTAAAAAAAAAGATTATTTATTTAGGGCCCTCCCTGGTGGCTCGTGGTTAAAGCAAGGCACTAAAAGGCTAAAGCCATTTCAGCATGAATTCAATCCCTGCCCCGGAGGTGACCACATGGTGTGGCAGACCTCTCCTGACCCGCCCGCCCGTTGCTCCCCTCAGCAGTGTACTTGGTAGATCTGCCTGTTCTGCTCCCCACTCTGTCTCTGGTGAATCCTCTCACCCTCTGCATCTCTGGCCTGTGCCCTAGTTCTGTATGCATAAATAAAAATAAATCATTAAAAAAAGATTTATTTAATACATACAAGAATTGGGGTACAGGCCAGAGATGCAGAGGTGAGAGGATTCACCCGAGTGGGGAGCAGTGGAAAAGACAAGAGGTCTTCCACACCATGTGGATCAACTAGGGGGCTGGTGATGGAACTTGCACTAAAGCAGCTGCAGCTAGCTTGCAGTGCTGTGGTCTGACCCATTTGCACCACTACCAGGGAGGCAGCCCCCAATTAAAAAGGTATTTATGCAGAATATCTTACCCTCTTTTTTCTCTAAACTGGAAGCGCCTTCTGTTCCTGAGCCAACTACTGAAGATAGTTCAGAAAAACTTCCAGATAAATTGTCAAGACTGCTGGCTGCAGAAAGGCTTGATGGGCTGGATGGACCTGAAGACAGAGCATCTGTGGTGGATCCTGGGCTTCTCACACCATTGAGCACTTGTGGTTTATAACATGAAGGCAATGCAGAAGGGGGCATAGCTGCTGTCAGGAGAGCACTGACATCGTCTGCCTATGGTAGATGTTAGAGAGAGTTGAAATCTGCCAAAAAACAGTTTTAAAATTCTACCCCACTCAATAGAATGCATCTGAAATTTTGACAAAATCCAGTATACTAGAAATGATTAGGTAGTATTCAGGTAAAGTTAGGTAGTATTCAGCTGATGTTATCAAATATGAAAATATTCAGAACATTTCTTCCAAGACAAAAACAAAACTATTAAATGTGGCAAAGTATGAAGATAATTTTTTTGATACCATGACTGAAAATACTGAAATGAATTATAAAACTATTTAAAAAGCTAAGAACTTTTAACACTATCACAATTACATTGAAGGAAGTAATCATATAGAATGAGGTTTGTATATCTTGGGAAATACTGATATATTTGTTCCTCAAAGTTGAATTTTTTTTTTGAGGGGCCTGGGGGTAACAAAGATAATCATTTAAATCAAATCTGCTAAAAAGGAAAAAAGAAACCAAATTTACTGATAATCAATCAGATTTAATTAGAAACATACCTTTCTTTTGCAGAGCTCAATTAAGATTAAATTAACATTTAGCAAGAAATAAATCAGTATTTGCTATCACTGCTAATCATTTACACTGACTATTCCAGTCTTCACCCTTTTCTTCCTGAGTCTGAGAACTCTTATGATAGTCATAGTTTGTTTATAATATTAATACCACTTACTGGGTGCTTTCTAATGTAGCAGATACCATGCTAAGGATTAAGTACATGACCTTATTTCTCATTTTAACCAGATATATTTTATCCTTATTTACAAAAGAGGTTAACTGAGGTTTAGAGGTTAGGCAACTTGTAAGACTGTAGTAGAGCTGGAAACCTGACAGGTCTGTTTAACTCTAAAGGTTCTAAAAGCATGTTGCTTCACTGTGACTTAACTTTATCTTGTGCTTGAACCTATGGTCCAAAATTTCACTTTTAAGGTAGTCTGGAATTGAGAAGACATTTCCCTGAAGAAATCATGTTGCAAATATAGCTGGGTTGTGAGCCTGCTGAGAAATCTATTTAACCTCAAAATAGATGAACTATGTCAGCTTCTTAATGTAACCAGATCGATGGTATCTCAGTGGAAAGTTGTCTAAGTCCTTCCATCTCCCCCAACTTCCCACTTCAAAAGGTATTGCCCTTTCTCTCTACTGTGTGAAGAGAAAGCAAAATACAAACTTATATAGAGAATGGAGGAATAAACTTGTTTCAAAAACAGCTTTGGTGGGGGAAGCAGTATGAATTTTAGGATGAGTTAGTGTAGGAGGGAAGGCAAGCTATACTTTCAGTAAGTTTTGTGACTGCAGCCTAAAGGCAAACATTCCCAGTTGGGGAAATTCACTAAAACTCATGGTGTGCTATTTTGCAGCTTTTGTACAGTAACAACACTCATTGAAGGCTTATGCCTGTTTTGTTTTCCAATTAATGTAAAGCAAGTCAGTATACGGCATACTTCATTTTCCTATTTCTGAAAAGTACTCAGCACATGATAACTGATTTTTAATGCTATATTTATTATATTCTAACAACAAAGATGTCCTAAATTTAAATTAAGCTAAAGAACAAATTTTGTCACATCCACCATGAAGACATTTTATATATACCAAGCATTGAGATTTTTCAAAAAGTCCATCACTTACTGAAACTAAATCTAAAGGTGTTTGTCCTTCCTGATTTTTAAGAGTAGGATCAGCTCCATGGGCCAGTAATAAAGCACAAAGCTGTGTTCGTCCCTTTTGAGCTGCTTCGTGCAAAGGTGTAAAAGCCCATTTGTCCGTGGCATTGACACATGCATTATATTTTATTAGTAAAGCTGCTACATCTACATGCTGTAAAAAGAAAATACTCCTGTTACAGTCTGAAATATTTCTTTATCACACTTTAGTTTTTAAGAAGCAATTAGCTATATACCTATTTTTTCCATGTTCAAACTTACTCTGAAAATGAAAAACTGTTTCTTGCCAACATCAACTAAACTGTTGCCTAGAAAATTACAGTGGGCATTTAAGTAACTTGAGAAACTAGAAAATAAGTCAATAATTCTGTGCAAGATAGGACTAAGTTGATTTTGACAATTTTTCACTTATTCAAGTAATATAACTGAACATCTTGTAAACCAGCAACTTCTTAATTATTCTAACTATGTTACTAAAGATGGTCAATATTAATTGTAATATTTAGGGCTATTGTAAGTCAGAAAAATGCATCTGAATCTCCATAGATTCCCATGAACCCTAAGGAGCTTTTCTGGGTACCAACAAATAAAAGCACTAACATCTTAGAGAATAAGAGATAAGTGCTAAGGAAGATAATATAATCTCTTTAGCTCTCATTTACTTTTCTTGAAATGAGAGTCAAATTAAATTCCTTTTGAATAGCAATACTGATTTTCACTTTGCCAATTTCATAGATTTTTTTTTAAAGATACTTGAAAGAACTCACCCCATAAGATGCTGCATTATGTAAAGGAATAAGTCCTCCTTTGTCTTGAGCATTCACATCAGCTCCGTGTTGTAACAAATATTCTGCAACTTCTAAATTATTATAGCCAGCTAGTTAAAAAAAAGTGAAATCACTTATTAACATAAAATTATGTATATGTATATATCTATGAAGAACAGACACTGTTAAAAAAAAGATTTTATATAAATCAGAAATTGAAACTCTCCATTGAAATCTATTAAAAATTTATCTTATAAAAAAATTGCCCATTGGCTTCAAGTAGGAAACTTGCAGCAATGACATTCATTTAGAGATTCTCAAAGTTTTATTAAATGATTTGCTTGTATATTTCCTTTTAAAACATTCTTGCCGAATTCTTTGCTTTGATGGTGCTACATAAACCTTCCTGATCTTATGTGCCCAACCTTAAGGATATAGAACCTTAAGGATATAGAAGCCAATTTAGGAACACAATGGCGGGCAGAGCAAGACATGGCACACTAGTGCTGGCTTCCCCAGAAAGCCACTAAAACACACTTTTTTGCTGGAGAGAACTTCGAGGTAACCATCTCTATAAGACTGGCAGCAGAAACTGTGTATTGCTAAAACCATGAAAAATTTTTTTTTTTTTTAAAGATTTATTTATTTGTGCATACAGAACTGGGGTACAGGCCAGAGGCTCAGGGGCAGTGAGAGGCTTCACCAGAGACAGAGTGGGGAGCAGAACAGGCAGATCGAGGAAGTACACTGCTGAGGGGAGCAGCGGGCGGGTCAGGAGAGGTCTGCCACGCCATGTGGTCACCTCCGGGGCAGGCGGGAATCGAACCCATGCGGAAGCGGCTTTAGATTCTCAGTGTTGTGCTTTAACCCGCTGCGCCACCAGGGAGGGCCTGAAGTTTTTTTTTTTTATAACGTGCCAAAATCAGCAGTCATCCTGGAAGCTGTCAGTTATCTTAGTACATACACTTAACAGTAAAGTATAGTATGACACAAACTCAGACTGAAAGCAAATCTGCAACTTAACTTGGCCAACATAAAACCAAGTATCACTTGAAACTTCATAATAGCTCAACATATTTATTTACATTTATTTTCTTTTAAAGATTTAATTATTTATTCATACAGAACTGTGGTACAGGCCAGAGGTACAGGGACGGTGAGAGGATTCACCAGAGACAGACTGGGGAGCAGAACAGGTAGAGCAAGTCAGTGTGAGGGGAGGGGAGCAGCAGGCAGGCCAGGAGAGGTCTGCCATGCCATGTGGGTCACTTCCCTGGCCAGGGATTTAACTTGTGCTGAAGTGGCTGCAGCTACCTTCACATGCTGCACTTTAACCTGTTACACCACCAGGGAGGGCTCTACATTTATTTTCATTGTCATTTTTATGCTTTTGCTGATGGAACTAAAGTAAAAATAAAATAAAAACAAGACTATGAAACTATCATAAGGCAAGTATTACACTTAATCAAACAGTCCTTCCTTCCTTAAGGTATACGATGACATGAGTAAGCAGAAGTAATTTGAGAATACAACCTATTTGTCACTTACAAAGACAACAGAGACTTAAACAGTACTGTTAATGTTCTAGGTTCTAAAGCTACCATAAAGATTTAAAAAGTCAATATAAATAACTAGCCATGGTACAATTCAAATCAGAGGTCAGGTCATACCTTATCTTACAAAGACTTGAAATTCCTGAAGCCTTTTCTCATCAAATTAGCATCTTTGGCTTATCACTTCCAAAATGTTTTAAAAAACACATAGAGGGTATCATACCATTGCTTGGACAGTAGGGTTCTAACATAAAGCAGTTGGGAATTTAAAGGTTAAAAAAAAAAAAAAACACTCACTAAAATGATTTCCCGAATATTGGGAACATACTCAATTACTCATACTGAGAGACTTTCACTTTCCATGTTACAGAAAGAAACACCTGCATTGCTTTCTTCTCTTTTAGATCTTGTGTATTTAGATAAACTAAAATCAAATGTGCCTATGATGCAAAACCACTGCAGTATTAGCTGTAGCTATCTTAATGGCTCATTCCCTAACACCTTCAATTCCAACACTGAAGACTTTACAAAAACTCAGGGGGCCTTCTGTGGTGGCTCAGTGGGTTAAAGTGCAGCACTGCAAGCTAGCCACAGCCGCTTCAGTACAAGTTCCATCCCCCGCCCTAGAAGTGATCCACATGGCACAACAGAAACCTCCTGTCTCCCCTCAGCAGTGTACTTCATCAATCTGCCTATTCTGCTCCCCACTCTGACTTTGGTGAATCATCTCAGCCCCCACACCTCTGGCTAGTACCCCAGTTCTGCATAAGTAAATAAATAGATAGCTAGATAAACAAATAACCAAACAAACAAATAAAAAGAAAGAAAAACTCAGGGACTACTAGGTTATCCTTAGTACTCTAGGTTAACTCTATAATGTTCTTGGTATTAAAAAAAAAGTATCGCTATCACAAATTCGGTTAACATCTTATGATTAAACATGTATATTGCTTAGAATAAATGTAATCAATGTAAACATCTATATGATCTGGTATTTTATTTTAAAATGGCAACTTTTTGTTTACAAGTTCCCATTTCAAATTGAAAATTAAAAACTGAACAAACCAACCCAAAATGTTCTAAAACCCCAACGTTGTATACCTGCACTAAAAACAAAGGTGCACTAACAATTCTGAGGGAAAACTTAGAACCAAAGTTATGGACACAAATGTGTTTTCCCCAAATCCTATGTCACAAGTCCTAAACTCCAGAAACTTCAAATATGACTGTATGAAGACAGGGTCTTTAAAGGAACTCATTAGAATAGGCCAAGATCCAAGCTGACTGGTGTCCTTTAATGAAAAGGAGGTTAGGACAGATAGAGAAGTGGGATGTGCACACAATGACAAGGCCATGTTAGGACACAGAGGGTGTTCATTATAAGCCAAGGACAGAGGCCTCAGTGGAAACAATCCAACAAATAATTTTATATCCAAAACTCTGAAAAAGAAATTTCTGTTGCTTAAGACACCTGGTCTATTTGTTAAGGCAGGCTTAGCAAATCAATACAAGAACTAACTTGGGCAAGAAATCTATGTAAGATTTTTTCTGCTTGTGCTTAAATAGCTATATAATAACAAGAATGGAAAGTGTTTAGTTTCCCATGAAGAAGACCTGGTTCAAGCAGGTATATTTTTCAAGTTTCTGTAGACTAAACTTACTTGCCAAAAATGATTCAAACAATACAGTGACCTGGAATAAAGGTTCTAAAGCACAGGGTGAGCGGCAGAGGCTCTTTCAATTGTCCTTTACATAATAAAACAAACTAGTATTTAGTGAACATGAACATGAAGCAGGGCTGCACTAACAAATACAGCAATGTATAATTCATGGTGAATATACTTGCTTTGAAATTTTTTAGGTTTCTCATTCAGGTGAAATGAATCTTGGTGTCACCAACCTGTGAAACTTCAACTGCTTACCTGCTAAATGTAGGGGTGTTGAATGCCGGCCCTGTGTATCACGGCAATTTACATTATCAGGTGAAGACAACTTCTTTACTCTGGCTAAACAACCCTTTTTGGCAGCATCTAACAAAGCTGCATCTCCCCTAAGTAAATCTTGGATATCTGTATCTCCATCTTTAACAAGATCCAAAGGAGTATTTCCATCCCTGTTTTTCTTTGTAGGGTCTGCACCATGCTGGGTATGTGAAAAACAGAAAGGGTAGAACTGGTTTAAATTTGCCCTCAAGAATGAGAACACAAATGTTAACTATACCAAAGAAAAATATTTGAATCCACAGAATATAATAAATGCAATTAAATGTTGTTATATTATTGTAACATAACAATAAAAATTTTCAACATAAGGTGTATTTCATTAAAAATGAATTTTTATGTACACTTTTAGTTTTCACAAACATTGAAATACAGAATAAATCTAGCTATATTCTTGTTCTTACAGTAAAGTATCTCCACTGGTATCTAAATTAAACCAGAATTATCAGTTTTATTAGTGGTAAATGAGTATGGCTTATTAATTGCATAATCCATTAACTATTTTGAAGTTAAACACTAAATAGGAAAAATCAATAATCAGATAATTATCACAAAAACTGACATTATTACAGTACACCTGTGACGGTAAACATAACTGCAGATAAAAATATGAACTAGTATTTATGACACTTATTCTGAAATACAGAATAAGAGCGTAACATTGCTTGCCATCCCTTTATTAGACTGTGTTCTCATTACTAGAAATATTACAAACATATTCTATGTAATATACATGATCAACAGTACTATTTAAATATACCTGGAGCAGAAGTTTGCAAATTTCATATTTTCCTTTTGCTGCAGCTTCATGTAAAGGTGTAAATTTCCATAAATCAGCTACATTAACAACTGCTCCATGTTTAACAAGAAGTTCTGCGACTTCATAATGTCCATAAGAGCATGCATTGTGTAAAGGTACAAGGCCCCTGAAATAAAAGTTAAATGAGCAATGCACATAAAGGTATGTTATAAATTTTAAACAATTACATATAGATTATAAAATTTTTAAATTGCATAAAGGACTTCATGTGTTTTACTGAAATTTATTAAAAATAGAAACAGAACTGGGAGGGGCAGGGAGGTAATATATTTTTAAAGTGCACAAAATACAATGAACACCTATCAATTTAATATATAGAATTGAGGCTTACATATTTTAAAAAGAAAAATAATTTTAAGATAAAAAGAATTCAAATATCTTCAATGTAACCTAAAAGAAGTATGATATAAAAAATGTAACATTAATGTAATCTCCTTGGTCATTTTAAAATTATAAGGCATTACACACATAAGTCTTTAACTAAATGCTCTAACATTACAAACTCGGAACTGAAATTAAGAAGCTATATTTTAGCCAATGGTAGGAAATCCAATTTCTCTGAAAATGAAAGAGCTGTTATTATCATAAAAATATTTTCAGATTTTAACTAGATCACTGCCTCACTCCAGTCACAAAAATCAACTCAAAGTGGATTAAAGACCTAGAAATAAGAACGGAAACCATAAAATACCTAGAAGCAAAGATGGGTCAAACACTACACGACATACACTTCAGCGACATCTTTAAAGACAGAGCACCCAAC